AGGGTTATTAATAAACGAATAGAAGTTACAAGCAYAACAACGGCCATTGAGCAATTAGTAACACACACACCCACGACAACATCCGGTCATTTATCCTACGGAATTAAAATAAAACGGAACTGAATTAAGCACGGGATGTTTCCTATACTTTCATTGATATCGAAAACCGGGAACAATGGTAAGGCGCGGAGCCGGCAAGCCGATCGCCAAAAGTAGCAAAGCCTCGAGCAATCTAAAACTACGCATATTACCAAAGCAAAATAGTAACCCATACMCCCAAACGAGAACACCGAATGAAGTTGAGAATTGAGAAGCTTACACCGAAGAGTTGATCGGCTTCTTTATAGTATTGCCGCGAGAGGTTGTGCATCTTTCCCGCAATTCGAGCATTCTTAGTGCCTGCACCCACAAGAACCAAGGATATTATGGTCACCTCCACAACTGGCAAACCATATATTCCCAAAATRTTAACATTTAGGGATGTAGACATTCTACAACAAACACATACCCGTGCCGCTTTCGAATCCGTATCACTTCCGAGCCTTCTTTCCACGCCCACGCCATTCACCTGCCAAGATTGCCTAATTAGAAATAGGTGGAGAAGGGAAGGTTTAAGAGTGTATACAGAAGAGATGGGTTAGAGTGGCTCATTCTGGACTCCAGCGTATGCAAGGCCATGGTTGTTCACTGCTACAATTCGAACGCGTGAATCGGCTCCACGAATGCAAGCTCCTGAAAGTGGCAATGCATGAAGGTGAAGGTGACGAGGATTATTAATAAATTCTGAAAAATTACAAGTAGAACAATGGCAATAGAGCAATTATTAACCCACACACCCACAAGAAACATCCATTCCGTTATCCTACGGAATTAAAAGAAAATAAAACTGAATTAGACACGGGATGTTTCCTATACTTRCATTGATATCGAAAACCGGGAACAACGGTAAGGCACAGGAGTCAGTGAGCCGATCGCCGAAAMTAGCAACGCCTCGAGAGATCAGAAACTACACATATAACCAAAGCAATTTAGTAACCCATACATCCAAACGAGAACAACAAGTGAATMTGAGAATTAAGAAGCTTACACCGAAGAGTTGATCGGCTTCCTTACAGTTTTTCCGCGAGAGGTTGTGTATCCTGCCCG